AGAACAGTACCCCCCATGTACAGGTTTTATGGTGTCTCGGAAAGTTATAGGGTTAAATATAGTGCTAGCAAATTAAATTCCCTTTACTTTCGGCATGGGTTGTCAGGCAGGTCCTGCTAATTGTAATTAATTAAGATACCTAATTATGTAAAATATTACATAAATATATATGTAGAATTAATATATGTATATATATACGTATGTGTATATATATGTATATATCTATATAATTTTTTAAATATTTTATTTATATATAGGTATATATATAGTGATATATACGTATATATTTATGTATATAGATATATATATTATTTCGTTCTACGTGTATTTTGATATATATATATATATATATTAATTTCACAAAACAGTTAGAACGAAATAACACACATCTATATATTTTTTAATTATTTATTTTTAATTATTTTTTTAATTTGATTTTTTAACGTATTTACATTTTTATTTTTTTTATATTATATATAAATATATATATAACAATAATTATATATATATATTTAATCAGTATTTAATCAGTATCAGTCTACGTGTAATTTGATATTAATATATATATATATAATTATATATATATATTAATAGTAAAATACACCTAGACGGTGTATGTGTGTGTATGTATATGTGTATATATATACTTAGATCATATATATATAATATATATATATGATCTAAGTATATATAATAATTTTTTTTTAACTTATTTTACTTTTATTTTCAGCCAGCAGGGGGACCACCTGTCATTACAGGCAGCCCCCCTGCCGGCAATACAGAAGCCAGCTATACCCGGCCATGTGATTGTGGGGTCCTCGCTAGGACCCCACTCTCACATGGCCGGGGGTCTTCAACGAGGACGGATGTGCCGCGGGGGGCTCCCTGGGAGTCCCCCCAACCGCGATCGCCGGCGTGGGACCGCCGGCGACCGGGTAAGTTAACAAAAACCGGAGGGCGTACAATTACGCCCGGCGGCGTTTAGAGCCGCCTATTAGAGGGCGTAATTGTACGTCCTCCGGTTTTAAGGGGTTAATCTTATTTGCTTGCTCTAAAAAGTCTTGTTCATTCGTACAATTCCTTCTTATACGTAGGAATTGTACTTTCGGAGCGTTGCTTAACCAAGGAGGATAGTGACAGCTCTCTCTTCTGATGTAGCTGTTGGCATCTACATCTTTAAAATAATTCTTGGTAGTAATAGTGCCGTGTGTGATAAATATCTCCAAATCTAAAAAATTAATTTGTTGGGTGCTAGTTTGTGCTGTTAAAATAATATTCCACTGATTGTTATTCAGATAACTGATAAAAGATTGTAGATCCGTGTGGGATGCTGTCCAAACAAAAAATATGTCATCTATATACCGGCGATAGGATACCAAGTTCGTCCCCCATGGGTGCCCTTGATAAATAAACTGTTCTTCCCAGTATGCCATGAAGAGGTTTGCATAGCTAGGGGCGAACTTGGTACCCATCGCCGTACCTCTAATCTGTAAATAGAACGTCTCATTGAACCAGAAGAAGTTATTAGTTAAAACCAGATTAATCCCTTCTAAAATGAATAAAATTTGTTCATTCTTAAAACTGTGTTTCTTTAAAAAATATTCTACTGCTTCTAGACCCTTCTCGTGTGGTATAATACTATATAGGGATGTCACATCACATGTGACTAACAGGTTACCTTCTTGCCATAAAGTGGTTTCTAGGATTTGTAGAATATGAATCGTGTCCTTTAAATAGGCTGGATTTTGAACAACTAATGGTTGTAGGAGATGGTCTAAATATTCCGAGATTTTTGCTGAAACAGAGTTGACTCCCGATATTATAGGTCGTCCTGGGGGGTTGGCTTTATTTTTATGTATTTTAGGGAGATGGTAATATACGGGCATTATTGGGTGGGGAGTGGTCAAGTATTTAGCTTCCTGCGACGTCAGGATGCCATTCTCTAGTCCTTTAGATATATAATTGTCAAACTTCGTCTTTACCATTTCAGTTGGATTTTTGTCTAATATTATATATGTGTCTCGATCTGCAAGTATTCGCTCAGCTTCTAATAGATATTTATTTTTTGGAATGACCACCACCCCCCCACCCTTATCAGCTGGTTTAATTACTATCTCTTTGTTTTGTTGTAAGTCTTTCATTGCTCCCATTTCTTTTCTGGACATATTTTGGTGGTATTTGTTTAACGGCTTTATTTTTTTCACTTCTTTCATTACCATTAGTTCAAAAGCTTTTATTTCATCTGATATTAAGTGTTTTGGAAAAAAGTTGGATTTAGCTTTTAAGTCTGTGTGTATATATTCTGACAAAGTGTTTTCACTAGGTCTGTCCTCTTTATTAAAAAAGAATTTCTTTAAGCATAATTGTCTAATGAATTTATTAATATCGATATAAAAATCAAATTTATTGATGTCGACTGTGGGGGCGAATTTTAAACCTTTTTGGAGTATCTCCATTTGTTCTTTGGGTAATTGTGTATCAGTTAAATTAAAAATTCCTTCTGTTGTTATTTTCTCCCCCTCTTTTTTCTCTGTGTGTGTTTTCCTCTCTTTCTATGCCTCTTTCTTGAGTTAATGACCTCTGACGTTTGCCTGGGGACTCCCAAATTTTGATCTGTCGGGATTGTTTTAGTCTCTCTGAGATTGGGTCCTTCCATAAAAAAGAAGGTGAATATTCTGTTCTGAATATGTCTGGTTTTTTTCCCTATATCTACCCTGGAGGTGTGTGATTGTCTCTCTGTTCTATTTGACGCATATGTTGTGGGTACTAATTTCCGGTCTTTTCTTTCAGGAATATTTGACTGTACAGCTTGACTGTAGCTGCTATATTTAGGTCGTCTTTCTGGGGATGGATGGTACGACTTAGTGTTACCCCTTGTGTATTTGTTAAAGTTATCGTATCTCGGATATTCCTTTCTTGAGATGTCATGATACTTATTATGTCTTGGATAATATTTAGACGGTGTATTATGATATTCTATCGTATTTTTGTGTCGCCTTATATCTTGCTCTGATCTATGTTGTGGGCTATTTTGCCTTCTAAAATGGTGTTTTTTGTCCTGTTTTCTATGAGTATCTTTCTCTCTTTGGTTAGGGTATGTTTTGAATTTACTTGAGGGGTTAATACCTTCTACTTTATAGTCATTTACATCTCTCAGATATTTTTTCTTTTTTATATCAATAACTTCTCTCTCTATTTTTTCTACTTTTTCATTAATATCTTTTAATATTTGGTTGTATAACTCTGGATTCGTGGTATTACTGATTTTTTCTTTCCAGTCTTTTATTTCTTTATCTAGTTGTAATAGAGTGTCTTCTCTTCTAGATACAATATAGCCTATAGTGCTAAATGCGAAGCCTTCTAACATTTTATTCCAACCTGTGATAAAACCCTCATCTTCTCTGTCGAAAGTGGGATTTTTATAGTATCTAAGACCTCTAGGGGTAATTCCCTTCCTTACATATTTTTTTAGGGTTGCTACTTCCCATTTGGTCTTCATTTCTTTAATCAATGTTTTTTTCCAAATTATATTTACATTGATCGGGATCTTTGTAAATTGTTACATTAGTCAGATTGTCTTTACATACAAACATTAAGTCTATGTTGCTTGTAGAATAATCTCTACATTCATGTAGAGCCATAGTGATAAATAAGTTTTCCACTGTCGTGTAATAGGGATAAAGTGAATACAATAATACAAAACAATAATGTACACGCTGTGAAAGACAAATATGTAGCTCTAAAACACCTAAAAAAGTGGTATCCCTTACACCACTAAAAACATAATACAATACATACAGAGTTATAGGTGGAGCTGTGGAGTGTCTTGAACAATCTGGAAAATAGAATATATGCAGATAGCGTAGTATATCTATACAATATATAGCATATAAAAAATGAGAATAAAAGCACTCACAAGGATAGAGTCATACCGTCATATGACTCTAAAAGTATGTTCAATGTAACTGACACAAACTAGAGCACAAATCAAAATCATTTAGATTAAGTCCGGAAAATAATAGCACCCCTTTTCTTTTCACACTTGAAGGCAAAATGGAAAGGGAACTTTTACACCTTACATATGCCAAGAGACGCACTTATGCCTTTTCCTCACCTCGTCAAAGAGAACCATTTTGCCCTGACACTTGACAGCAAAATCGACAGGGAAAAAGCACCCTTCCCCCCCACCCAGCCGATATGTACAGCATAACAATAAGGCTTCTCTTAAAAACAACTAACACAAACAAAAACTCCCATGATTAGCATCCCCAATCTGTAACCGAAGAACTGACACAAACTAGAGCACAAATCAAAATCATTTAGATTAAGTCCGGAAAATAATAGCACCCCTTTCCTTTTCACACTTGAAGGCAAAATGGAAAGGGAACTTTACATCTTACATATGCCAAGAGACGCACTCATGTCTTTTTCTCACCTCGGCAAAGAGAACACTTTTGCCCTGAGACTTGATGGCGAAAATCAACAGGGAAAAAGCACAATTGTTTTCCCCACAATATGTAGAGCATAACACTAAGGCTTGTCTTAAAAACAACTAACACACACAAAAATTCCCATGATTAGCATCCCCAATCTGTAACCGAAGAACTACCATAAACTAGAGCACAAAACACAATTATTTATGATTAATTGAGAAGATGATAAGAGACCTATTCTAGACACACTTGTAGGCAAAATTGACAGGGAATTCATTTATTCCATGCTAGGTAAGGAGAACTAAGTATACATATCCAGCATTGGAGTGCATCAAGTTTAGCAAAGGTTTCAACATCCTTGGTTAATGTATCATTTACTACATCTCTTATTTCTAGCAGTTTATTGATATGATCCATGAAAATCATTCAAAATGATCATTGTTATTTCTGCTCTTCTTTCAAGTTTTAGATTTGTACAATTTGAATATTAGCCTTTTGCTGAGTTGGTCTATACGGCCACCGTGCACATCACCGACTGCGTCTAACAGCTTGCGTTCTCCACCGTTAGACGAGGTGGCCGCGTGGTTAAGGCGATGGCGATGGACTGCTAATCCATTGTGCTCTGCACGCATGGGTTCGAATCCCATCTTCGTCGACTTTTCTTCAAAGCTCATTTCCTCAGAGAAATTTGTAAACTCACGTTGCTGTTTGTGTCACTCAACTGTCATCTATTTGCATGGCTATTTTAATTGAGGGCACAGGAACCTTTACACCAAAAATAGGCACAGAGTGGCATTCATGGCAGTTCCACAACTTATTAAAAAGCAAGATTTTTCCCAGAGATATCTAGAGCATAATACTAATGCTTGTTTTAAAAACAACTAACTCAAACAAAAATTCACATTATTATCATCCCCAATCTGTAACTGTAAAAATAACGCAAATTAGAGCTCAAATCAAAATTCTTTCGATTAAGTCCGGAAAACAAGAGCACACAATGTCTTTTTCTCACCTCGGCAAAAAGAACCAATTTGCTCTGACACTTGACGGCAAAATCGACAGGAAAAAAGCACAAATTTCTCCCCCCCCCCCTCCCCGATATGTAGAGCATAACACTAAGGCTTGTCTTAAAAACAACTAACACAAACAAAAATTCCCATGATTAGCATCCCCAATCTGTAACCAAAGAACTGACACAAACTAGAGCACAAATCAAAATCATTTAGATTAAGTCTGGAAAACAATAGCACACCTTTTATTTTCACACTTGAAGGCAAAATGGAAAGGGAACTTTTACACCTTACATATGCCAAGAGACGCACTTATGCCTTTTCCTCACCTCGTCAAAGAGAACCATTTTGCCCTGACACTTGACAGCAAAATCGACAGGGAAAAAGCACCCTTCCTCCCCACCCAGCCGATATGTACAGCATAACACTAAGGCTTGTCTTAAAAACAACTAACACAAACAAAAATTCCCATGATTAGCATCCCCAATCTGTAACCGAAGAACTGACACAAACTAGAGCACAAATCAAAATCATTTAGATTAAGTCCGGAAAATAATAGCACCCCTTTCCTTTTCACACTTGAAGGCAAAATGGAAAGGGAACTTTACATCTTACATATGCCAAGAGACGCACTCATGTCTTTTTCTCACCTAGGCAAAGAGAACAATTTTGCCCTGAGACTTGACGGCGAAAATCAACAGGGAAAAAGCACAATTGTTTTCCCCACAATATGTAGAGCATAACACTAAGGCTAGTCTTAAAAACAACTAACACACACAAAAATTCCCATGATTAGCATCCCCAATCTGTAACCGAAGAACTACCATAAACTAGAGCACAAAACACAATTATTTATGATTAATTGAGAAGATGATAAGAGACCTATTCTAGACACACTTGTAGGCAAAATTGACAGGGAATTCATTTATTCCATGCTAGGTAAGGAGAACTAAGTATACATATCCAGCATTGGAGTGCATCAAGTTTAGCAAAGGTTTCAACATCCCTGGTTAATGTATCATTTACTACATCTCTTATTTCTAGCAGTTTATTGATATGATCCATGAAAATCATTCAAAATGATCATTGTTATTTCTGCTCTTCTTTCAAGTTTTAGATTTGTACAATTTGAATATTAGCCTTTTGCTGAGTTGGTCTATACGGCTTGCATTCCTCGCCGTCAGACGAGGTGGCCGAGTGGTTAAGGCGATGGTCTGCTAATCCATTGTGCTCTGCACGCATGGGTTCGAATCCCATCTTCGTCGACTTTTCTTCAAAGCTCATTTCCTCAGAGAAATTTGTAAACTCACGTTGCTGTCTGTGTCACTCAACTGTCATCTATTTGCATGGCTATTTTAATTGAGGGCACAGGAACCTTTACACCAAAAATAGGCACAGAGTGGCATTCATGGCAGTTCCACAACTTATTAAAAAGCAAGATTTTTCCCAGAGATATCTAGAGCATAATACTAATGCTTGTTTTAAAAACAACTAACTCAAACAAAAATTCACATTATTATCATCCCCAATCTGTAACTGTAAAAATAACGCAAATTAGAGCTCAAATCAAAATTCTTTCGATTAAGTCCGGAAAACAAGAGCACACAATGTCTTTTTCTCACCTCGGCAAAAAGAACCAATTTGCCCTGACACTTGACGGCAAAATCGACAGGAAAAAAGCACAAATTTCTCCCCCCCCCCCCCCCGATATGTAGAGCATAACACTAAGGCTTGTCTTAAAAACAACTAACACAAACAAAAATTCCCATGATTAGCATCCCCAATCTGTAACCGAAGAACTGACACAAACTAGAGCACAAATCAAAATCATTTAGATTAAGTCCGGAAAATAATAGCACCCCTTTTCTTTTCACACTTGAAGGCAAAATGGAAAGGGAACTTTACATCTTACATATGCCAAGAGACGCACTCATGTCTTTTTCTCACCTAGGCAAAGAGAACAATTTTGCCCTGAGACTTGACGGCGAAAATCAACAGGGAAAAAGCACAATTGTTTTCCCCACAATATGTAGAGCATAACACTAAGGCTAGTCTTAAAAACAACTAACACACACAAAAATTCCCATGATTAGCATCCCCAATCTGTAACCGAAGAACTACCATAAACTAGAGCACAAAACACAATTATTTATGATTAATTGAGAAGATGATAAGAGACCTATTCTAGACACACTTGTAGGCAAAATTGACAGGGAATTCATTTATTCCATGCTAGGTAAGGAGAACTAAGTATACATATCCAGCATTGGAGTGCATCAAGTTTAGCAAAGGTTTCAACATCCTTGGTTAATGTATCATTTACTACATCTCTTATTTCTAGCAGTTTATTGATATGATCCATGAAAATCATTCAAAATGATCATTGTTATTTCTGCTCTTCTTTCAAGTTTTAGATTTGTACAATTTGAATATTAGCCTTTTGCTGAGTTGGTCTATACGGCCACCGTGCACATCACCGACTGCGTCTAACAGCTTGCATTCTCCACCGTTAGACGAGGTGGCCGAGTGGTTAAGGCGATGGACTGCTAATCCATTGTGCTCTGCACGCATGGGTTCGAATCCCATCTTCGTCGACTTTTCTTCAAAGCTCATTTCCTCAGAGAAATTTGTAAACTCACGTTGCTGTTTGTGTCACTCAACTGTCATCTATTTGCATGGCTATTTTAATTGAGGGCACAGGAACCTTTACACCAAAAATAGGCACAGAGTGGCATTCATGGCAGTTCCACAACTTATTAAAAACCAAGATTTTTCCCAGAGATATCTAGAGCATAATACTAATGCTTGTTTTAAAAACAACTAACTCAAACAAAAATTCACATTATTATCATCCCCAATCTGTAACTGTAAAAATAACGCAAATTAGAGCTCAAATCAAAATTCTTTCCGGAAAACAAGAGCACACAATGTCTTTTTCTCACCTCGGCAAAAAGAACCAATTTGCCCTGACACTTGACGGCAAAATCGACAGGAAAAAAGCACAAATTTCTCCTCCCCCCCCCCCCGATATGTAGAGCATAACACTAAGGCTTGTCTTAAAAACAACTAACACAAACAAAAATTCCCATGATTAGCATCCCCAATCTGTAACCAAAGAACTGACACAAACTAGAGCACAAATCAAAATCATTTAGATTAAGTCTGGAAAACAATAGCACACCTTTTATTTTCACACTTGAAGGCAAAATGGAAAGGGAACTTTTACACCTTACATATGCCAAGAGACGCACTTATGCCTTTTCCTCACCTCGTCAAAGAGAACCATTTTGCCCTGACACTTGACAGCAAAATCGACAGGGAAAAAGCACCCTTCCTCCCCACCCAGCCGATATGTACAGCATAACACTAAGGCTTGTCTTAAAAACAACTAACACAAACAAAAATTCCCATGATTAGCATCCCCAATCTGTAACCGAAGAACTGACACAAACTAGAGCACAAATCAAAATCATTTAGATTAAGTCCGGAAAATAATAGCACCCCTTTTCTTTTCACACTTGAAGGCAAAATGGAAAGGGAACTTTACATCTTACATATGCCAAGAGACGCACTCATGTCTTTTTCTCACCTAGGCAAAGAGAACAATTTTGCCCTGAGACTTGACGGCGAAAATCAACAGGGAAAAAGCACAATTGTTTTCCCCACAATATGTAGAGCATAACACTAAGGCTAGTCTTAAAAACAACTAACACACACAAAAATTCCCATGATTAGCATCCCCAATCTGTAACCGAAGAACTACCATAAACTAGAGCACAAAACACAATTATTTATGATTAATTGAGAAGATGATAAGAGACCTATTCTAGACACACTTGTAGGCAAAATTGACAGGGAATTCATTTATTCCATGCTAGGTAAGGAGAACTAAGTATACATATCCAGCATTGGAGTGCATCAAGTTTAGCAAAGGTTTCAACATCCTTGGTTAATGTATCATTTACTACATCTCTTATTTCTAGCAGTTTATTGATATGATCCATGAAAATCATTCAAAATGATCATTGTTATTTCTGCTCTTCTTTCAAGTTTTAGATTTGTACAATTTGAATATTAGCCTTTTGCTGAGTTGGTCTATACGGCCACCGTGCACATCACCGACTGCGTCTAACAGCTTGCGTTCTCCACCGTTAGACGAGGTGGCCGAGTGGTTAAGGCGATGGACTGCTAATCCATTGTGCTCTGCACGCATGGGTTCGAATCCCATCTTCGTCGACTTTTCTTCAAAGCTCATTTCCTCAGAGAAATTTGTAAACTCACGTTGCTGTTTGTGTCACTCAACTGTCATCTATTTGCATGGCTATTTTAATTGAGGGCACAGGAACCTTTACACCAAAAATAGGCACAGAGTGGCATTCATGGCAGTTCCACAACTTATTAAAAAGCAAGATTTTTCCCAGAGATATCTAGAGCATAATACTAATGCTTGTTTTAAAAACAACTAACTCAAACAAAAATTCACATTATTATCATCCCCAATCTGTAACTGTAAAAATAACGCAAATTAGAGCTCAAATCAAAATTCTTTCGATTAAGTCCGGAAAACAAGAGCACACAATGTCTTTTTCTCACCTCGGCAAAAAGAACCAATTTGCCCTGACACTTGACGGCAAAATCGACAGGA